AGTATACCCTTCCAGGCTCTGAAGAAGGCGATACTGCCGAAACGTCAGCTAGCGTTGTATTGTATTGTGTTTTTATGGAAGTAAATGTATGCTGTTTAAAAACCTCGCGATTGCTGAACAAGAAAACGACACATTCATATTCCAATGCCGAGGTTAAGAGAAAGTCGATCCTGGGAACTATTTTTAAGTGTATTCTACAAACCCTTCACTGAGGTTGTCCCGACACGCATATCAAAGACATTGGATGAGGCGCAATCAATCCAGCAAGCAGAATCTTCACTAAAATTTTGCTGCATAGACAACATCCAGACCGTGTGCCGAGTTACTGATTTTGTCGCGATTACCATCTATCTCTAGTCCTGACTTTTTTCGATTGTGAAAAAGCGTTTGAAAGCGTCGAAACTAATGCAATCCTATAAACGCGTGTAGACCCAAGAATTAGCCTACCCTACATAAGAACTCTGTCTTACTGTTATTGGAACTACACTGTGAATATACAACTTTTCCTTCGATTACTTACCATATCCACAGAAAAGGGGATTCGACCAGTTAACACCATATCGCCAAAGCGTTTAGTGCTGCACTGTGGTGACTAATAAAACCATTTGATTGGAATGAGAAGCGCATAGGTATTGATGGCAAATTCCTGTCAAATGTTTGTTTCGCTGACGACATCGTCATCTTTTTGAGAGGTACCACGCGGAAAAACAATAAGCGGGAAAAATGCTTGGAGATTTAAATGAAACTGCCACCAAGGAAGACAGTTGCATGGCAAAATGAATGAAAAATGTTCTAGGATCCCCACAACTCCTGAGCACGGATCGTCCAAGTGTGCATATATTCAGGGAAGTAAATAACAACCCGCATTACGACCTTTAATATTCGTGACTATTTCCGAAGTATATCAACTTAACAGCATAAAATTTAGCGTCTATAGCTAAAATCATTCTATATTTTATAGAATTCCTTCCAAACATCCAATTAAAACAAATAAAGAATAAAGCTCTAGGCGTTGATCCATCCCTGAGGGATGCGCCATGCATTCGACTTCATTAAGCATTGCTGGAGGTGATTGAATGCATACCTGACCTTTATAATGACTCGCGATGGCCTACCGATGTATTGAGTCAGTGCTGCTATTGTCCCAGACAAGTCTGGTGCCGATTTGCAGACACCAGAGGGATGGAAGGCTTGGTGGTCCTTTGGCGCGGGAATCGATCCCATGTGTATCTCAGGGCGCCTCGAACCACTCCGCTACAAGAGTCCTACAGAAAAACTGCTTTGTTATGAGAAATTAATAAGCAATAAGACAAACACTAATTTTGACTGCAGCTTCAGCTTAACTGGGTTCAATGTCGGCTCGCGCTCCCTACCTCATTCCCATTGACGGGTGGTTGCTGACAGCATCGTTAAGGTTAAAACTGGCTGCAAGAAGCTAAAGCGAGAGCGCCGTTGGTGCGTTTGATATCATGTGAACGCTCAAAAAGAGTAATCGTGGGTTCAAAGCTCATCTGGGGTTCCAAGTTCACACCCGAAGGGCCTGATGGGCTTGGGACGCGGAAATCGATCCCATGTGTACAACAGGGAGCCTCCGACCACTGTGCTACACACATCTAGTTGTACGAAGCACAACTGTATGAAAACAAGCAGTTGCGAACGGAACAGTAGTTGTCGAGTCTGTGAATACTTATGCTTACCGTGAAACTAGAAAAAATTCGTGGTTACGATTTCAGAGAATTCATAGATTGGAAAATCCTGATGATTCAATACCTATTTGTATTCGTAAATCCACGCTACTTACTGGAAATAATATTAAGTCGCATGATTAAATGCATTGAAAATGTTGCATAAATGGACAGGACAAATCGACATAGTGCTTAGCACTTAGTTTCGATCACTGTATAGAATTAAAACTACCCTGCTGCCTTAAGTTATAATCCTAGTTTTTTTTGTACAAAAGGCAGTAAATGAAAAGTTGGCACTGTGATTTCGACAACAGCTTCAGCTTAACTGGGTTCATTGCCGATTTAGGCTCCCTAGATCAATCCCGTAGACTGGTGATCGCTGATGGCACTGATCGATAGAACTAGCTGAGAGACAGAGGAAACGAGAAACCAGCACGGCGTAGTGATGAACGCGTTAGACTTCGGGAAGGGTAATAGCGCGTTCGTTCACCACCGCAAACACCTGCAGGCCGGAGTTTTGCAAATATCTCAGCATCATTGTGTTTTTGTTTTTATCCTCACTTTTTCAAAGGAATCGCTTGGAAAATGACAAAGGGGTAGTCAATGACCAAGAGTACTTATTCTTTCGTCACTGCGCTACAAAGACTACACTTTTTTGGATCTTCATGTGTGTTTTGAAATGGTATTGAAACCGACCACGTAGTTCGTTTTCTGATTGGTTTGATCACTACTCGCCGAACCATCATAAACCATTTTCACTGAGGTAAAAGGAGCGGATCAATCTTATCTACGAGTTATTATATGGAACAAAGAAAGCATCCACCGACAGAACTTCCTATTTCACTGAGCAAGTCAGTTTTCAATCATCTCAAATAATTTTTCCAAATATGCAGACGTTGGGGCTAGAGCTCATTTTTACTTATTGTTCAAATCGCAGCACTTTTTGAATTTGTTTCGTTCCTTTGCAACCATCATTCAAGAAGCTGTTCGGATGTGCGTATATTCGGCTACTACTTGAATTTGTCTTTCTCAATTATAAGTGCTGGTAAATGTTGATCGAATAGAATCTTTCTGGAACCTTGGGATAATCGTGCTGGAGTTTTCCCAAGTATTCAGCAAAGGCAAAGCCACCAGCATCTGTGAATCGGATAGAACTTCGCAGATCACTTCTGTCCACTGAGCCTACCTAATCTGTAATTTCACTTATTAAGTTCTGAAAATCTTGTATACCATAACAGTAGACACAGGTCATTGCGAAACTTGTCAATTACCTGTTATAAGACTTTAATTTGTAGGTTCGATTGCACAGAAGCTATGAAACTATGTTCGTTTGGAGGTCGACAGTTCGACTGTTGCAAGTTTATGGAGCCAATTATAACGAATCTCGGAAAGTGTCACTACTTGGATATGCGAAAAGCTCGTGAATGGATGCGGAAGCAGACGGTGGCCGGCGTGAACGCAGGGTTTGTAATGTGATACAACAAAGTGTTGAGCTGCTTAATGAGCTTTCTACATGTCCTCATTCGTTTTGACTACTTTACTACTCATAAAGAGTTGGTTTTTCTTCAAAGAATACAAGGCGCTTGACGCAGTTGGAGCTTAGTACCTGTGATACTTGTACTAAGTACTAGATAACTGAAGAAAGCCCTGATACTTTTACGACTGAAAATGAAACTATATGGCGATTGATGCTGGTAAGCGAGTTGATTTCAGGCTTCAAATAATCCTCGATGCACATATGGAAGAGCAATTTGACGGCAGTGGAGGTTAGAATGGTCTAAAAGAAGACTAGAAATAAATAAAACTTTCCTGAAACAATCCGTAAAGAAGAGTAAAGAGACTACACGAACTCGAATAGACTTTTTTTCGATGGAAAAAACGACTTGCAGAAAACAGTTTGAACGATACAAGCTCGAGTTTACAACGGTGTGTTTAGATAATTCCGACCCGATCTTTTCTAATGCATTCGAGAACGGCTATCGATATTATGTTCATGCGCCCGACACAATACCATATCTGGTTTCTGAGGGAATCAGTGTCTCTCCCGGAACGCGTGTTTATTCGGCTATTTCGACCAATACGGTATGTTGGAGATATACAGCGGAAACCATTAGAGCTAATCCAAGAATTTACTGAACCACAACCGTTGTTGCTCAATTTGCACGAAAGGCGCTACGGTTTCCGCAAGGATATTTACCACTTTGAATGATTCTTCGTATTTTTGTTGAGCAAACGCGAGGTGTTATTATTCTTTATTCACGTTATTCACCAATAAGCTGACGTTTCGGCGGATTTCGCTTTCTTCAGAGTCTGGAAAGGTCAGGTTGATAGCAATCTATTCCGCCCAGACACCTCCATAACCAAACAAAGAAACTCTAAACCAAGATTTCAATCACATTGAACACAGCTTTGCACACTCACCGCTTTCTATGAGGTTTCCACTAAGTATGTCGCGTGAAGACTAACCGCACAGAAACCACATGGAAGCATAATGTGCCTCTCCCATCAGAATAACAGACTTATATACTGCCCAATATCACGCGTGATAATGACGCATTCTTCCCTGCGGTTCATTTTCGGATTTCTGGAATTAATCCAGTTTCTCACCATCTGCACCCATTTCTAAGATAACCTTGCGTAGGGTTGCATGTGGTTTACATGAACTTCAAGATAGACTTCGCAAAAAAGGTAGAGATGAAGCGCTAAATAGGTGCGAACAACACCAAGTGGGGGCCCTACTGATAGCACCAGTTCCTCTGCCGTTGTTTAGACAACAAGAACAGAATAATGAAGTTGATATTAATTTTCGGATGTTTGCAAATGAAACCCTCAAAGTCATTAATCACTATCACGCGAAAAGATACAGCTCAAACTTCACTCTAGTGCAAAAACGTGGTATGTGAGAGGTACGAGAGCTGAAAAGGTTGAAAACCATAAGACTATCCGTCAGTGATAAGGGTGGAGAGTTTGTCGTAATTCTTTATCAGTTAGATGTGGAAATAACGAAAAAGCATCTTGAGGATGCTTCGCTTTATCGCCCAACATCTGAGAAGGAATTTAAAAGTAAATACCGAAAATTGAACAACGAATGGGCCAAAATGGCAAGGGCTGCTGGTTTAAAACCATCAGTTATCTCTCAACTAAAAGTTGACTTACCAACATGCCCCGTCTTGTACTTGCCTATAAAAACTCATAAATTAGTATCCAGCGATGATCTTGGGTCTACCGATCCATCACTATTTAAGGTTAGACCTATCATTAGCTGCGTGGACGGGCCAACGGATAGGATAACGCGGTTAATAACTCTAATACTTACCCAGTTGTTGAAGTACATTCCAGCCCATCCAACGAAAGCCGAAATGTTCCTAGATCGTCTGCGTAACGCGCGACCCAACAGCGCCTACGTGGTGGAGTCCTACGACATCACCGCCCTCTACATAAACGTGTGGAATTACTCCGCTATGCAAGCTATCCGCGAGCTCATACAACACGAAGGAGCAATAAACACGTACAGATTCTCGATTCAGCAGTTGATGACACTCTTAGAGGAGTGCCTAAACTGCTCTATCTTCAGATAGTCTGGGAGGTATTACGCACAAATGAGAGGGCTGGCCATGGGACTACGACTGGCACCAAGCCTTGCCATTGCATTCATGTCTAAGGTGGAAGCGCCAGTAATCGACCTCGGCCCGTCATTCTACTGTAGATGTATAGATGACTCTTCGGTCATTTGTTCAACACAAGGAGATATTGACAGATATTTTGAGTTGTTGAACGAACAGTCAGAGTATATTAGAATCACCCGAGAGAAACCACATGGAAAATGGCTTCCATTTCTGAACGTGCAAATTAACCTAACAGAAAACCGCTGAAGTACGAAATGATAACGAAAGCCAGGTAGTAAAAACATCTTGGTTCATTACCACTCCTCTCACTCCTCTCACACGAAAAGGGCGCTTGTGAGAAAAAAGGGCTTCTCAGGAACTGCATTCAATAATTAGAACCGACACAATGGAAGAGATATCGGCCATCACGAGCACCGTGCCCGTTCAACTCCACCTCGGGCTCACCAAGCCTCTCACCCCTCCCTCTACGTTCGGGAATCGGTAGCAGATTTCTCCAAGAATAGATCCCAGGGTTCCAAGCAAACCGACCCTATCAGCATTCCACAACATTCACAAAGAAAATGACAACCCTTAAGCAGCAGCGGAGCCCACATGCAAAAATTTGGAAGAAATGAATGAGAGGAGATGAAATGAGCACCGAGATCTGTGTAATAGACCTTAAGGCGGGTGGTATAACAAATGTATTGAGGAATGATAAGTGGAACACATATTATTAAGCATATCAACAAATCGCGATTACTTGAAATGGACCAATTTTTATTCCCTGTAGTTTGGTTCCACGTCGTAGATAGATAGGGATGCTACTGCATGTAAAAGCGCAGTCCACCTGTTGCTGGGGTTCACTTATCCTCTCAAGCAGGGAAGGGATTCAATGTTCTCGCCCGGGAGCACAGCTATAAGTAAATCGTGATATTAACTAACGAGAAATTGTTTACCGCCGGGGAAAGCTCAAGGCTGCTTATCTGGGAAGAGACATCTTTTTTGACCAAAAAAATTACTCCCAAGTCCGACTTCCGTAAGAAGTAGAAAAAATTATTCAATCACAGAGACATAACGGAGAAGATTTTAAAGTAAGGGTTACGATCCTCGTGCAAGAATCGAGAACACAAGCGCGCAAAACTCTCGAGGCACTCTGGATTAATTCCAGAAATCTAAAAATGAACCGCAACAAAGAATGCCTCATTATCACGCGTGATATTGGGCAGTATATAAGACTATTATTCTGATGGGAGGGGCACTTTGCGCTTCCATGTGAAGTCTTTGCGGTCGGTCTTCACGCGACATACTCAGTGGAAGACTCATAGAAAGCGGTGAGTGTGCAAAGCTGTGCTAAATGTGATTGAAATCTTGGTTTAAAGTTTTCTCTGTTTGGTCATGGAGGTGTCTGGCGAAATAGATTGCTATCAACTTGACCCTTCCAGGCTCTGAGGAAGGCGAAATCCGCCGAAACGTCACCTTATTCATGAATAAAGAATAATAACACCTCGCGTTTGCTCAACAAAAATACGAAGAATTACTTGATCAATGCCGAGGTTAATAGAAAGTCGGTCATGGGAGTTACTTCGAATGATCTTCAGATTAGAAAGTGACTGGAGGCTATGACAGCAGCAATGCCAGCGTTACTCTAGCTGTTGCATTGGTCATCTATAGTATTCCTTCACAAAACTTCAGACTGTGGGAACAAAATCTATCACGTTGGACGCTGAATGCGAGGCTTTCTATAGTGCAATTAGCCCCGGGTGTCGAATTCATCATACTCCCTAGTATCGCAAAAAAATATTCACTTTTTTGAGTTAAATTGATACGATATCAAAGTCGGTCCTATCACCCGTATCACCTATAGTCTCGTTGATCAACGAGTAACTCGAGCGGAGTGGGTTCTCCTCACTCTGGGGATTTGTCAAGCATCATATCTTTCTTCTAGACTTTTCGTGAAGAAATCTAACCATTTGGTGGTCTTCCTACAGTACGTTCGACGTCACGAGGAATCCAGTCACTAAGGGCTCTTGTCCATCGGTTGTCATCTATACTCATTACGTGTCCGGCCCACCTTATCTTCGATTGTTTGGTGTACAGATCGGCATCTTTGATTTTTGATCGTTGACGCAGGTCGGAGATTCGGATCGCATCCCTTAGTTGTGTGAAACGAGATACTCCTAGCATCGTCCTTTCACTGCACGTTCGATAATGCTGAGTGATCTCTCATCCTGCTTACGCAACGACCAGGTTTCTGACGCATACATTAGGGCAGAAAGTATCGTTGAGTCGAAAAGGTGGGCACGGAATCGGGTGTTCTTTGTTCTCTTCACTGCATCTTCGTTGCTCTTGAAAGCTACTCAAGTCGCTCGTTCCTTACTGCTCAACTCTGGAGCTAAGTCGTTCATCATATCGATTTCCTGACCTAGATAGACATAACCGGAGCTTTCGGAGATATTCGTTCCGTTGAGCGTGAATGGGGCATGTGAAACCAATCCGTTCTTCACGAACGTGGTTTTTGTGAGATTTAGTCTAGGACCAGTCTTTCCACAGGCTTTATCACAATCGGCAAGCATACGTTCCGCTTGGCTAATGTTTGATGTGATAAGGACGATGCCATCAGCAAAGCGAAGATTGTGTAACTGCCGACCATCGATTTACACTCCCAAATTATCCCATTCCAATGTTCGCATGACGTTCTGGAAGGCGGCAGTAAATAATTTTGGAGAGATAGTATCGCCTTGTCTAATCCCTCTTTTGACGTCAATGTTAAAATCGTTGTAGAATGGTGATATCTTAGTTGTGAAATTTTTATACAGCTCACGAAGAATCGGTCCTAAGTTATAGAAATGGTGAACACAGAGAAACCAGCTGAGTGAACCCTTTTCGCAAGTTGTGATCAATGTGAGAGATTCCTGATCTGGTTCATGAGTAGTTTCACTGGGTTCATTATGATATTAGTCACTTGGATACTTCGACAGCCTATCCTAACGAATTGTACAGATTCCAACAAATTTTCATTCGCTTCTTTGCTTCGCGATCATCATACATGGTAGGGACCTAATCCGAGAATGGTGGCGGGCCTGAGTCCCACACTATTTCACCTGGGAAACATCAACAGCTGTGGGTACAAACGATTGACCTTCGTCACGAACATGTTCACCTAATGTGTAGGTGGTCACACCAGGTGACGACGTAATCGGCCAAACGAAGTTATTTTAGGATTTTTCCATTAATACGTATGTCTTTCTCTCATTCGAGTGGTTTCGTTGTCGACTGCAGTGCAACGGTAAACAACTTTAGCGATATTCTACCGCCTCGTTGAACCCTTTCCCTATGAGTGTGATGGGGGAGGGGTCAATGAAGGAGCTGGGTATTTGTGCTGCAGTTCCGATAACAGTCTACTAGTACTCGTACATAGAACGGATCTACCCTTTGCTCGGTGAATGATGATAGGATCGCATTCGTTTCTATACTGTAATACACTTTTTCATAGCCGATGAAGGTGAGGACACAAAGGAGATGGTGTTCCCGACGGCAGACTTCCATGACGAGTGTCACGGTTTCTATGTTCTCAATTCAACAGAACTCCTGTTAGAATCCTGATTGCTCAATTGGTTTTGCCTCATCAAAGGTGTGCGCAAAACCACAATCTTTGTGAAGAGCTTGTTGATTATAGTCAGCAAGCATATCGCACTCTAGTTACAAATATTCATCGGCCACCTTTTTTCGGATCGGACAGGAAGAAGGTGCGCGAGGTCCTTCACTGGTCTAGAATGTTCTCCTTCTGAAGCAAGGTGTTGTACGATTTGCGAAAAGTATATGCGAACTGTAGCTTCCAGCTGTCAGGAAGTTACGGTGATATTTTAGGATCCTGGACCTGTGGCTTTTTCATGCTTTCTATCGCAATTCGAACCATAGAGAAAGTGATTCTAGGTGGTTCATCACAGCGGGGATTTTAGGGTTTGAGGCGAAGTTGCGGAAAAAGGAAGGTTGCTATAAAGCTTTTCGCTTAATAATTCCATATCACGAAGGAAAGTTTTAGTGATCTCATCTTCGTTCTTCAGAGATAATAGTAGGACATATCACTCGCACAAGTCCCTGCAATACTTTTTTGAATATTTCGAAACCGGCTTTCCTTGAACCTTGGTATCACTAATCAATATGCATTTCTTCTTTGATGAGCTTACACGAGGTTGATAATGATGTTTATTTATTATCGGCTAACGCTTCGACGTCTTCGTCTTCCTCAGAGCCGGTGATCCGAGTCGATGGCGCATGCTTGTTGCTCGTCTCCACGTTGCAGCTTCGCCTTCGTGTCGAGTCAGGTCTTCCTCGGTGAGCCATATTCTCGAATAAGGCATCCTCACTCAGTGATCCCCTTTTATACACGATGCTGATGGTGGATATAAAGACAATGTCCGGTGGTAACAACTTGTATTTCTTCCGGATATACATCATTGCGCACATCGTGCAGAAGTCGGTGTTTTTATCAGCTAGCACAAAGCGTACTACTACTATATTAGCGAAATGTTACTATTAGGAAGAAATACAAGTTGTTACCACCGGACATTATCTTTATATCCACCATCAGCATCGTGTATAAAAGGGCATCACTGGGTGAGGATGCCTTATTCGAAAAGATGGCTCACCGAGGAAGATCTGACTCGACACGAAGGCGAAGCTGCAACGTCGAAACGAACAACAAGCATGCGCCATCGACTCGGATCACCAGCTCTGAGGAAGACGAAGACGTCGAAACGTTAGCCGATAATAAATAAATATCATTATCAACCTCGTGTAAGCTCATCAAAGAAAGAATACTTTTTTGAATAGTTTTTTCTCCCACTTCTAACAGTTTTCTTTGCCCGTACCGATATAGATTTGCCTACATAGCTCTTTTGCAATTTTCAAATATTGCAAATAGCTGTGTTAAACGTACTGCAGAAGAATCATGCTTCAGTTTCTTCCTCTCTTCGGACAACTGCTCAATGATAGTGGAGTTGTGTCTTGATCTTCATGCTTGAGAAACTGAGGCAAATTTGGTACAATTTCTAACCCTTTCAACGAGTCTACGGTCAGGTCTTCCTTAACCTGCCAACCACGTTTGGATAGGATTTAGTTCAGAATGTTCTCGTCGTAAACCGCTTCAATTCTTATGTTGATCAATGACATGGAATCCTTTCCTGGCTTAATGGAATCCTAGCTCAAGAAAGTGATTTCGTGTAGAGAAGAATAATGGGGCTTCCATAATGTTAAATAGGCGCCGTTTTCTATTAGTAAGAATATAGTCAATCTTCTCGCGTGTGGTACGGTTAGATGACTCTCCAGTTTCCGTGGAACACCCGTGCTGGGGACAGGAGTCCTTTTTGACATTTGATAGTGAACTAGGTGATCAATACCAATTTCAACAGAAAACGCCATAAAACGTACAATCTTTGTACGTCCTAATATGGTTATTTTTCCAAGAATTAATGGATGGCTGATGCTTAGTAAGCAAACTCATCTATTAATAGTTAACTCAGCACATTCTGAAAACCGATATCTTGTATAAAAAATACTAATCCAATGGCACCGATATGGAAGAACATCCCTAGAAAACTGTTATAAACTGTTATACGTCTTTGCAATAACATTGTTCTTCAGTACATACTGCTTTCGTCAGAAAATTGGGGAAACTGCAGTGATAAATGGCCGTCGTCTTACAACACCACACTACCGTACTCTTCAGTAAACTGTGGTTCTCTTTGTAAGGTATGATAATATCGTGTAGTAAGGGAAAAAGAATATGGACCAATGTTTTTTTCTTACTGATTATTTATCATTTAACGTTCTAAAGGTTTCCATTTTTATAGTAAAATAATATCGATGACAAATACAACACAGCTGAGAGCTGAGAGACAGGCGAAACGAAGGACTCGCATGGTATGCTGGTGAACGCGTTACTCCCCGGAAAGGGTAATAGTGCATTCGTTTCCTATTGCAGACCTGCCAGCAGTCCGGTGTTTCGTGAATATCTCAGTACAACTGTGCTTGTATCACACATGGTTCCCTTCCGAGAAAAATTGTAATAGGCAATAAATAAAAAAAGTTAACACACAACGCAGTTTTATTGAAAGTCTTCCGCACTAAAGAACATCCGATCCTAAATGAAGTACGCTATGCGAAAAACTTAAGATGAAAAAACACGCGCACTAGTGACTGAAATTTCCAAGTCCGACTTCCCGCTAACCTCGGCGTTAATAAATGGTTGGCTCACTTCTAGATAAGTACGTGCGAGGTTGTTGTATTATACTATTTATTCATAACAGACGTCGTTTTGGAGCACTTCGCCTTCTTCAGAACACGAAAGGGTTCAGTTAGCTACAATATGGTGAGTCAAACGCCTCCGTAACCTCAACAAAAAGGCCACGATACCTAATCTTCAATCGCATTGGATTTAAAACGGCTCCTTCACATACTCGTCACTCTCAGTGAATTCTCCACTGAGTATTCCAAGTGAAAACCAACCGTAGAGAGCTCATATAGATGGATAATGATCCACTCTCACGTTAGTATATCACTTTCAGATATTGTGCGAGATCTCGCTTGATAATGAGGTAGCCCATACTGCGGTCCATTTTTGCATCCTTAAAATTTATCTAGAATGCTTCAAGATTATCACGCGCTGACGCTTTAGACTACTTTAAAAAGACAGTAACTTCTACTCCAAAATCTACTGCGTTATGCATCTGTGTCCATGTGCGCCTAGTCTTCATGCTTACCGTCTAGGTATTCTTCTATACGGATACATAGTGGTCTCGCCATATTCCTTCTTTCACACTTTACAGAAGATCCACACCCAAACTCATGCAACCACCGTCTCTAGCATTAAGTAATTTTGCGTTGTGCATAGACTCCTTCAAACCACCTAGCATCTCACAGCGTTCGATAGTATTTGATCATTGCTACCGACTGCTCTAGACCGGCCCTCCTCAAGCAACATTTTATAACTGCTTCGTTTCAAATGTAGAGCAGGATAAATGGGACTTAATTTCTCCTATCCTTATCGTTTGGGGGCGTGATTATTTCTCTAGATTGTTCCGAGCAGCAGCCGTTCCGTGGCCATCTGAAGTGACTCGACACGAAGGCGAAGCTGCAACGTCGAGACGAACAACAAGCATGGACCATCGACTCGGATCATCGGCTCTGAGGAAGACGAAGACGTCGAAACGTTAGCCGAAAATGAATAAATATCATTATCAGCCTCGTGTAAGCTCATCAAAGATAGAATACATATTGATTATTGATACCGAGGTTCAAGGAAAATCGGTTTCAAAATATTGACTTCTCGCTTCTGGCTTGACTTCTACTCTATTGACTTCAAACATAAGCCAAGTACTCCACTAGGTACGCATAGTACGCAGAAACATAACGAAGATTTTGAAGTAAGGGTTACGATCCTCGCGCAAGAATCGAGAACACAAGCGCGCAAAGCTCTAGAGGCATTCTGGATTAATTCCAAGAATCCGAAAATGAACCGCAAGGAGGAATGCCTCGTTATCAAGCGTGATATTGGACAGTATATAAACCTGTTATTCTGATGGGAGGAGCACATTACGCTACCATGTGAATTCTGTGCGGTCGGTCTTCACGCGACATACTCAGTGGAAGACTCATAGAAAGCGGTGAGTGTGCAGAGCTATGCTAAATGTGATTATAATCTTGGTTTAGCGTTTTCTCTATTTGGTTATGGAGGTGTTTGACCGAATGGATTGCTGTCAACTTGACTCTTCCAGACTCTGAGGAAGGCGAAATCCGCCGAAACGTCAGCTTGTACGCAAATAAAGAAATAAAATAGCACCTCGTGTTTGCTAAACAGAAGTAGAAAGATATATATTGACTTCTGGGTTCATTTTCAGATGATGGCCGATAAACGGTAGATGTTTTTCTGTTATTTCAACATCTAACTGGCGAATAATTACTGCAAACCCTCCTCCATTATCACCAATTGATAGTGTGATAGCTTATATAGTAATTCCCAAGACCGACTTTCTATCAACCTCGGCATTGATTGATAATTCGCTGTTCTTCTTAAATAAGCATACACGAGGTTGGTATCATAGAATTTATTAGGATACGATACCTGACGTTTTGGCGGTTTCGCCTTCTTCAGAGCCTGAAAGGGTCAAATTGACACGCGATCTACTCAACCAAACACTTCCATCACCCTAGCAGATAAAACTTAACAAATAAATTTGCATTCGCACAATAAGCTGCCTCATTTAAACACCCACAATTTATTCGTTGTAACCGTCCGATCACTTGGTGGAGAGTAGCCGCATGGAATAATACATGGACGAGGACTGGGTCTGGGTCAGGTCATTGGATCAGTCTGAGATATGGCCCGAGGTCACGCTTAATAACAAGGCACTCCTCTCTGCGGGATTTTTGGAATTAGTCCAAAACGCTCCAAGAGTTTCACGCACCGATGTCTTGGATTCCTGTGTGACGATAATGACTTCTACTTCAAAATCTTCTCGGTTAAGTTCCTGCATCCTATGCGCGCCTAGTGGAGTGTTTGGTTTCAACTTAGATTTACCAACTAGGTATTCTTTCAAGCGGACCCAGAGCGATCTACCTGTTTCGCCAAAGTATTCATCCCCACACGCTTTGCAAGAGATTAGGTACACCGTGCCCGAATTCATGCTATCACTGTCTCTACCATTAAAGCAAATTATGCAGTTTTTCGTTGTACATAGACGGTCATTTAGACGGTTGCGAACTAGCTGGTGTCTTAGAGTGTCCGATGGTATTTCTATCACTCTTAAGGAATTCTCTAGACCGAGCCTTATTAAGCAACGTTTTATAGCTGCATTTATCTCGTTTGAAATAAAGGGCAAAGAGCGCCTTGTTCTCGCTAGAATTATCGTTGTGGGGCGTAATTTTTCCTTTATGCCTACGCCAAGAAGCTACAGTTTCGTAGCCATTTGAAATGGTTATTTACGTTTGTTGAGCAAACGCAAGGTGTTATTATTCTTTATTCACGTTATTCACCAATAAGCTGAAGTTTCGGCGGATTTCGTCTTCTTCAGTGCCTGTAAAGGTCAAGTTGACCTCAAACAAGTTAGCAATAGAAGTTCCAACTTCCATAAAAATAAACCTCACAGAGGAATGCTTCGTTATCACGCGTGATCCCACACAGTATCTCAGACTGTTGTTTTAAAGCGAGAGAGGCACATTATGATTTTATGTGAATTATGTGCCATTTGTCTCCAAGTGGAATACTTATTGGAAGACTCGTAGAAAGCGGTGACTGTGTAAAAAAATTATTTTGTATGACTGGTTAGATTGCCGACAACCCCCTTTTCCAGACTCTGAAGAGGACGAAATTCACGTAAAGGTCAGTTTTTTGAGTAGAGAGCATAACAACAACCTCATGTTTGGTTTTCAAGAAAAGAGCTCATTATTAACAATTACATTGGTGTTAAGATACCCTGTGACGGATGATTGCAAATTGCACTGATCAATAGAAGTAGCTGAGTTTCATGCGAAACGAAGGAGCCGCATGGTGTGGTGGTGAACGCGTTGTACGCTGGAAAGGGTAGGCGTTTGTTCCCCACCGCAGACAAAGGCGGTCTGGAGTTTTGCAATAATTAACAGAAAATGGGCACTATAGTGTCTAATACCGTCCTTTGGTCCAAAGGCGTGTAGACACTATAGTGCGCATACTGGGCGCTATGGGTTAAGCAAGGTCTTTATCTTCTGTGAGTCCAATACCAAATGAGTCAGTAAACATTGGAAAAACTGGATACATACGCCGCTCAGACAGAAATGGTATTACTATTACCTTGTCATTATTACTGTCATTGTTATTATCACCATTATACTTGCTTACTTGATACTTGAACGGCCCGTCCTCACACGTTGTGCGGGCCCTTGCATAATCACCATTTTTGGAGATTTGCTGGTTACTCCATCCTCCGGGGTTGGTAAATTGGTGCAGGACTTACTGGAAGAATAGCATCACTAGCTTGAAACATCGGCAGGCCACCGCGAGTCATTGTATAGGTCAGATGCGTAGTCATTTACCTCTAACGACGCCTAATGAAGTTATTGTGGTTCCCTGGAATCCCGAGGACAACCTGGCCAAAATTTGCCCCATTTCACCATTATTATTATTTTTATTATGATTATTGTTGAAAATACTGCTATTATTGTTGTAGTAATATTCCATTTAACTTCTCGCACTCCGACACATTGGTTTTACACATCTCGTATACTTCACTGCGCGAATTTGTAAACATTCAATTTCGACTGGTGTGGATAAGCAATATTTTGGTCTATTAATGTGTGTGACCGAGGATAATAAACATAAGTACTGATTTTCCATGCTGGGGTTCAATGAGCATCAGAATTGAATGTATGCTTTGCTATATGTCAGTTAACAGCAGTGTAGCTGGTGTAAGATGCATTGTCACCACGGAAGCAAATCATTTCGGTCGACAATCGTCCAAGAAACGACTTGTATCCTGGGAAACTGTCACATGAGGTCAGGTCACTTCAGTGGGGCTGGAATCCTGTATAAAAAACAGGGCTAGAGGTGCTACTTATTCCGCAAGGTGCTCCACTCTACTCTATTTGTCTCTTCCTACAGGAAAGGATACTAAAGAATCAAGATAGAACAACTGCTGCTGTGGACACAGAAGTTGGATCAACGGAACTCTGATGAAGGCGAAACCGCCGAAACGTTTGCCGTAGAACTCCGTCTAAGTTCATCAATAAACCAAAAACTCAAACCCATACAATTTTGTAGATTTACGCACTACTGTATAAAAAGCAAAATGTTCACTTCTGTCTAACTTTTTGCAGCCAGCTAATTAAGTTTGAAATTTACAAAACCAGAAGGAAAAAACTGTAAGAAATTGTATACATAAACAGGTACAGCTTTTCTTTTACGTGTTAATTCGACGTAAGCGACTTCCCCTTATCTTAACCGTTTTATTTACTGCCTACTCTTTTTAACGGCAGGGTATATTGCGAAACATAACTTCAACGTTGCTGAGATACTTGCAAAACTCCGGAACGCAGGTGTCTGTGCTGGGGAACGAACGCGCTATTGTCCTTTCCGTGGAGTAACGCGTTCACCACCACACCATGCAGGTACTTTATTTCGCTTACCTCTCAGCTGGTTCTATCGATCACAGCCATCAGCAATCATCCGTCAACGGGATTGATCTGGGAATCCCAAATCGGCAATGAACCCAGTTAAGCTGAGGCTATAGTTGGAATTGACAATGCTCACTTTTTATTTACTGCGCTTTATCGATGGAAGTAGCTGAGAGACAGGCGAAACGAAGGACCCACATGGTGTGGTGGTGAACGCGTTACTTTCCGGAAAGGACAATAGCGCATTCGTTCCCTACCGCAGACACCTTCGGCCCGGAGTTCTGCAAATATTTCAGATCTCCACTTACTCGACCACTGGGATAAGAATCCTCCAGTTTTCACCGAGGGATTCCAAATTTGGTTTCCGGACATCTGAATAGTCTGACATCTCTCATAGTTTGCAAAATAATGCAGCTTAAGGCGAACTACTTCTACGATCGATGTGGATGCAGTCCGTTCACGTATAACATCGATATGTGTGAGTTTTTCATGCTCCATGAGTTCTCCTTGTTTCGTTATCTTAGTCTTATGGCATTCCAAAATCCTTTCGATTGAAATCAAATGCACTTACAACTAGACAGACCTCGTTTTAATTAATATTGACGTCTAGTATTCACTACTGCGCCGACTTGTTTGTATTTCAGCTTTTCCAATGTGTACTCCGTACCAAACATTCCAGTGCATAGACCAGTACATCCGCAGGAACATAAATGGTAGGATGATTTGAAATCTCACCAACATGTTTGACAGAATTCGATGTGTCGTTGAATACACAGAAGAAGCAAGTAACTTCAAATGATTGTCTAGAATAACTCATTGATTCAAATAGTCTTATAAGAATGAACAAGTTAGAAAAGAAATTATACGCATGTTTAATAAATGGAATACTCAACAGTAAGGTTTCCTTTATAATGAAGATACTTGCTTACTTGATACTTGAATGGCCCATCCTCACTGAGTGTGCGGGCCCCAGCATAATCTCCATTTCTCGGAAATTTGCTGGTTAAGCCATTATGGTTCCCTGGAGTCCCGAGGTCAGCCTGATCAAAGTCTGCCCCAGGTCGTCACCACGATAGAAAGTCGCAGCCTTTGTGGATCAGAGGGAGATTTGCACCATGCGACTTTGATACCAGGACGGTGGTGGATCGTGGTATTGGTTTATTCTTAGCTAGGTTTCCTGATGGAAACGCCGGACTCCTTCTCAGCTTGGGAGGCCCTGCCAGGGAATGAATCCCCCGCTGTACATCGCAGTCTGACACCCAGGAACACCTCCCAGCTACGATTAGGCGGTAAATCGTTGGGAAGTACAAGGAAGATAGCAAAAGTCAAGTTGAGACAAGCCTTAAAAGGATCTCACTGATTAAAGTACTTGACAGAATTAACGCATTTGTTTCATGAAATGTTTCGTGACCAGTTATAGAATAAGAACATAAATTAGATCACTGAGTCTAACAAAGACCTGGGTAGCGAAAGAGCAGTCTTTCTTTAACCATCTTGCATTAAGTACAATCGGTTCGTTGCCATGTCTTTTATAAATACTACCTAAATCAGAAAGATTTAAGTAATATTGATAACAGCATAAAGACTAAGGCGTTCCGGGTAGATCGATCCTTGGAAGATGCGCCATGCATTCGACCACATTGCTAGCAGCATAGAGACCCTTGAATGAATGTCAGGACAATGAAATGATTTCTCGGTCGGGTCATTACTTACTCAATCAACGTTTTTCCTTCCTCTAGGAATGTCTGCTACGAATTTGATGGTCCATGGTGGACAAGAGGCTTAGTTAGGGCGCAGAATCGAAGTATTGTAGGACTATACCTCTAATCACTGCTCTGCACGATCCCATTGAAATTCATGCACATAATCATAAATAGGAACCTAACCATCTAAAAGATCATGATGCAGCATAAATTGATGTTATATCACTTCGTATCCACTTACTCTTATGATCGATCGTCAACTATTATTCCGTTACAAAAGATAGACGATCACCCGAAAAGTTTCTTCATGGTGTTATATGGATTACCTATATACTCTATATGTCTCAAAAAGTTAACAGATAGCTTCCAGCTATGAAAACGTTATCGCTGTCTGAACACCACGCTCGCATTCATCGATGGATTTTTGTTACCATAAATGTCGTCTATCAGATGAATAGAACACTGATAATCCAACACCGGCGCAAGAAGAACATCTACTTCCAGGCACTGACTACTTCTACATACCACAATGTCAAGACTGTAAAATCGAATGCCACAGTCTTGTCTACCATGCTTACAACTCGTACGGGAAAGGTTTCAGTCATGGAGCGCTGAAATGGCTGAGTAGAAAAAATTCAAGTTGGAGCAACGCCCATATGCGGTCAGTCTTCTTTCTTTGGATTATTAGTTAAATAACGAGTCGTTTTCAACCATATCAGCCGCGAAACGAAAGAAGTCCCACACCTAGGAACAACCCAGTCATGATGAGGCGGTAAACCTTTGGGACAGCCCTCTTCAATTAACGTCCGAAAGTAGTCGTCTCCGACAACAGCAGCAGGTCTTTCTTGAGCATCCTCACCTTCAAAGCTAAGAAAAATTGTTCAGACTTACGCATCTTTGCTTTTACGCATCTTTAGCCGAAATTGAATATAAGTGAATATGAAGACAAAAACATTAGTCTGAAAGGTAAAACTTATGCTCTAAAATGGTTCCTAAGATAAAACACGAAACTTCGTTTGGAAACAAAGTCGACACGGTTTTATGAGAGCGTAATAAAAATTTGGCGAGAGATCATTGCGCACAAGAAAACCATTGCTACCAGTGGTTAAAGAAGTGACCTAGCAAAAGTTACCGATTAGTCGGTGTGGAATCAATTCGTAGATAAGGATTTTTTCTGCATCCATACTGTAACTCACCTCATAAAATTCTACAGTGTTACAATACTTGTAATACTAAAGAAGGAGTCAGTCTATTATACTTTTGTTGTCTCATAGCTCCGACTTCAATATTCAACTTTGTTACTTAAAGAAAGCTATTCTATTCTATGAAACAGCTTGCTTGGAAAGCGATTGAATTTCCATTACTGGTGATTCCTGTTTCTTTATGAAAGCACAACTAATAATGGAATACGTGAAATGGGTACTTGGATACTTGGATAGCTCGTCTTTACTGGTTCTGCGGGCTCCAGCATAATCTCCATTTTCTCGAAGTTCCGCTGGTTCAGCACTTGTTGTTCCCTGGAGTCCCGAGGTCAGCCCGACCAAAGTCTGCCCCAGGTCTTCACCATCACGGGCAGTCGCAGCCCTTGTGAATCATAGGGAGATTTGCCACCAAGCGACTTTGATACCAGGACGGTGGCGGATCCTGGTGTTGGTTTACTCATAGCTAGGCTTCCTGACGGAAACACCGGACTCCTTCTCAGCACGGGAGACCCTGCGGAGAGGACGAATCCGCCGCTGTACATCGCAGTCCAACACCCAGGAACACCTCCCAGCCACGATGAGGCGGTAAACCATTGGGAGGAAGTGAAATGGATATGAATGCGAAGGATTATATCGAATTTCCTAAACACTGCTGACATTTTTTGGCAAGAACGTTGACAGATCCATAAAATTTTCTGTCATTAGACGACTTTCGTCTTCTTTGATTCATTCTTGCTTTTTACTAAACCTGAATTCAATGAATGACATGTGAGCCAAGAAACGAATGCACAGAGGACAAAGAAAACAGTTTGACGATGAACAAAACATCTTGACGTATTCTAAAAACAATTGAAATGTAATGTTAACTTTTTATATTAACTGCCTATTACAATTTCTTCCTGCCAGGGTATTATGTGTGATAAAACTACAGTGGTGCTAAGATATTTGCAAAACTGTGGACCGCAGGTGTTTGCGGTGAAAACCGAACTTGCTTTTGCCCTTTCCGGGGGCTAACGCGCCCACCACCACACCATGCGGGTCCTTCGTTTCTCCTGTCTTTTAGTTAGTTCGACTATCGATCAGGCCATCAGCAATCACCCGCCATTGATAGCCTGATCAATAGTACTACACAGAGACAGAGACAAGCGAAACGAAGAATTCGCATGGTGTGGTAGCGAACGCGTTAGCCCCCGGAAAGGGTAATAGCGTGTTCGTTCACCACCACAAACACCTGCGGTCTGGAGTTTTGCAAATATCTCAGCACCATTCTAATAGAAATATATTTAAGATCGAATTTTCTTACTGTGAATGTGTTCTTCCGTGATATGGCTCACACCGAATACCGACAAGTACAGGCGACGTCGCTGACGGAAGTTCTTAGTGAGTATATAATGCTGAAAATTTCAATGACTAACGTGAGACTAACTTCGGCATTGATCGATAAGCTTTTTGTTTCTCATAGAGTGTTACTGGTGAGGTGACACGAAGCTCTTAACATTCCTTAGTTCACAGTGGTTAACGTTCTGTCTTACTTCGCCCTTTTCAGATTCTCAACCTCCTCGTATTAATATGTAGCACTATTTAGTGAATCAGTTTTACAACCTTTGCAGATTTCACTTTGTTGTAAGTTACGCCATGATGGCTGGCCATTGAAGTATTCATTAAAATTTCTATAGGTTATAAAACTACTAAATAAAGCTGGCTGCTTAATCATAAATTCATACACCCACACTAAATTCCTTCAAAAAAAAGTGAAATGGATGAAAGTTTAGTCACTTTGGGATTGCTGTGTTCTGCTAGTTGACTCTGGTTCTAATCACTACCTGTTAAGGCCTAGTTTAGTTTATTTTACCTGCCCATCGGACTAATGTAACGTTTCCGGTGATATCGGTGGCAATATGGGCATGTTTCTTGGGATGTCGTTGATTACGGTAACCGAAGTTTCATTGTTCATCTCAAAGATCGGATGGATTGCGTTCTCAAAACGAAGGCGAGACTATCTGTACAACAAAAAAAAAAGCGAAAAAGTAGGTGATGAACTTAAAATCTGTTTCTCAACATAGATAGTTCTCCGAATATGTTAAAGAAATAGAAATAAATCAAATGTTGTCCAAGGAACGGGAAAAGCAGCTTGAGGAGACGGTATCCGGCTTCAATATGTTCCGTATCAAAAAGGTTGCTGATGTACGAGATTCGTTCCGAGTAACACAGTCACGTTTACGAGCGTTTGGAAAGGAAATGCGAGATAGTTTCCGGGTTTCGAAACCTAAAGGGCTCAACGTACCACCGTTGTATTCGTCGGTAAGCCTTTTATGTTTATAAATATGAGTGCGATCCTCTCACAATGCTGAAGTCCCGCTTGATGTTCAAAGTAGGAAATTTTGGAAAAATGACTTGTATATCTAAGTGTTCTTTATATGCCGGAGCATCTTTTCTCCATCATTTAGAACAATGAGAAGAGGTCGAACCTGGAAATTCACGAAGACGTCGTGAAGAACCATCATATCCACTGTGATAAAGATCTCATTTACAAGGTTAGCAGCGGAAAATAGAGATAAACGGTTGCTGATAGTACCGTTAAAGAAAAAATAAAGAGAATGGCAAGGCAAGGGCCTCGGTTTGTGTGGTGGATCCTACACGAGCTCCCGGTAGAGGGCAATCGCGAGTTCGAATCCCTACTGAGGTTCCGAGTCTTGCTCATATCTCTGTACCTTTGTGGTTGTATTTCACAAAAAAATGGAAATACTTTCATCAATTCGCTCACTGCTTCAATAAAATATTACTAAAAAATGTTTACTAAAATGTACTTTACTAAAATGTTACTAAAACGCTTTTTAGTCTTCTTTCAACACTGGTGGAACATTGAGAAAACAAGAAAGCATGGTGGGTTATTCTTTTTATAATTGAGAATGAAATACTCGGCTTTCCATCCAAACAAGTAAACTTTATTTTTTATCTCTTTTATCTTATCTCATTGAGTTCTTTGTGCATATGGTCCCCTATAATCCTTCTAAAAGTTGACAATGTCATCGTAAAAGGACGGTCTTGTAATAATTCCTCACTGGTGGAAACATTTTGCTCCCTTGCGATGGCTTTCATTATTCGTTCCAAGATGGTGAAGGTGAGATTGTGTTGCCTTCTCGAACTCACTTTCCTATGGAGGTAGCTTGATGGTTATAAAATAACAATTTCATTAGTATACTGGATGTCGGTGGATTGTGGTCTCACACAGAAGAATTCCATCCTTCCGACGACGAACATTGAAAGTATCACCTTGGTTTCAACATAAGCGGCTTTACCGTAGCAAATGTTAGGATAACTAACAAGTACTACACTGGTACTACTGGCTCTTCAGAGTGACTTTCACAGCTTCATCCATTTGTATTCATCCAAAGATCTAGAGATCTGTGTTATAAGCAATGGGTACACACGACCATCGTGCAGAACTTGTGGAACACATTTAACAAGACAAAGGATTAAAAGCTCTATTCGGTGTTTCTTTATAAGAAAAACGATCGAGCAAAGTGTCATCACTTAGCGAATGATTCTCTCCTTTTTGAAGAAAAGCTGTCGATATGGTGTCACCCAGTTTGCGAGACGCGCATGTAGTTGATAGGTTCGTGCTCGAACTAAGTTAGCTACGATTTTGGGTAGGTTTGGCATGATATTGGCAAAAACAGTTGTAGCAGGCCCTTACTTAAATAACTGAATTACTCGCCTATACGAGGAATCGTATAGATCTCAACACATTTCCTATCCGACTCGCAATTTACTTCTCAATAAAATATTGATTTCCTGAAGACTTAGGATACCCGTGCTAGGGTTTTCTTAGGTTGTCACCACAAGTAGTTACCGCTTCATATAGACCACAAGAAGATTTATCATCTGCAAACAAGCTGCTATCAGGACATGATTGTCGAGGTCGATATACTTTCACCTAGTCTTTAGATGAAAACGTCGAACTCTTTTCCACCTCGTAAACATTCCGTAGAATGAACCCTCGTCCTATAGCAGAGTTTGACAAACCGAAACAGATCCTAGCAACGATGACGCGGTGGACCATTCGAAGCATGTAGAACTATGGAACCCCTGTTTTGATGATAAATGGCGAAAATCTACTCTTTTTTCAGCAAAGTGGTAAGGGAACATTCGCAAAGGTCTCGATAGTAGCCTTTAAGATTTTTCTAAAATGAAAAGGTTTTTTGCCGCTTTTATTTCGAAGCACTTCCCCTGGGCGATAGTTGGAGCTCTATCTTCAATTTTCTTCCCTTAATGAGTAACTACTTGCTGATGTTGAGCGTATGGTCCAACCTCTTTAATTGAAGAACTGGGACGTACTCACCACAGCTTTGAAATTCTTTAACAGACAGTCCATGGCGTTCAGTTCGTTCATTTTCAATGCAACAATCATGAAGGCAAAGAACTGTGAGCAAAGTGATATCGTTACGCATTTTTTTAAACGATAACATAACTTTTCTCCAACTTTTGGTTATACTGAATCACCGCACTTAAGAGATTAATGTTCGGCCCTAATACACAGGTAGTGCAAAAAAATCAGTGTCAATATATGATATATGAACAAAAGATATGTGTAATAACATAGCATTATATGAAAGGGCGCGTATGGCGCAGTGGTTGGATACAACACACACGTGGAATCGATCTCCGCACTCATGACCCACCAAACCTTCCATCCCTCCGGGGTCGGCGAATTGGTACTAGACCTGTTTGAGAGGATAGCAGCACTGGCTCGATACATCGGTAGGCCGCCACGAGCAAAGGCCAGATATGCATTCAGTTACCTCCAAACGATGATTAATGCATGGTGCATCCCCCAGGGATTGATTAACGCCGAGAGCCCTATCCTTTTTAACACGATAAAAGATCCCCATCCGGTAACGCATTTGAGGGTGTTTCATTAAAGAAGATTCGACTCAATACGAAGACGAAGACATCACGTAGAGAAAAAAAACGATCGTGGACCATCCATTCGGATCACGGTTCTGAGGAAGACTAAGACGTTGAGGGGTGAGCCGAATAAACATCTTCATTGACCTCATGTTAGTTTAGTAATCGACGAAACTGCTTATTATTAATGCCATACGGTCGAAACAAATAAGGGCATCACTGTTATTCCATTTTTCGTTTGGGGTCGATTACGTGTTTTTTTAATGTAATCAAGTGATATCAGTATTTCAGTGGCTCTTTGCTTACGTCTCCCACTGTCAGCAAAAGGCAAAGGAGATCCTTCCTTCTCGATCTCGGCATCCTATTCGAAATTTCTCCACCCTTTATTCACGTTTAGATACCTTTTATATCTTAGCGTTGGATTCTCCAATATCCCCAACAACAAATTAACGCGACTTTCTTAGTTGATCACCTCCACCAACTGGTCATAGAACTCATCTATTTATTACTCCTGCAAAATCAGCATAAAGGGTCGCATAGAGTGGTACGACAAAAGCTGCAAGGCAAAGGTTTTGTGACGAAATCACCTCTCCGCTAACAGTGAGTTTCCTTAAATACGGGATGTACGTGATTTTTCTGCTCATTGCTTGGTGCAGTATTACTATAAGATATAACGACTGGTCTTGGAAAGGCCCCGGGAAAGTTTCTTCTTTTTATGGATTAGATGAAATAAGGGATTCAGAGAATTGCCCTGGTACTACAAGCATAAGAAAAGCCTCCAATGAATGCTGTGAACACATTTCGATCTTTTATCGTTAGTCTTAGTACCTGGCATTGTAAATAAGAACCTCACCATTTAAGCACCACGGGGCTATAAGGATGCTGAGATATGAACAAAACGCGGAACCTCAGCTGTGCTTCGAGCCCGTGATTAGCCTTTCCGGGGCTCACCTGCTATCCACCACACCAACGAAGGCCCATGCTTTGCCTCTCTCTTAGTAATATTTCAACTCTGTCGGTGCTATCAGCAATTATGCGTCAAAAGGTGTGATCTGAGGAAACAAACCGGGGTTGAATTCAGTTAAGCTGAAGCCGCAATCAAAGTCATAGTGGCTTAACTTTTTATTTACTGCCTATTCCTTTTAGAACTGCATCGAATGGCGATTTCTAGTAACAAATCGTTCTCATTGACGGCTGATTGTTAATATCACCGACAGAGTAACAACATGTTGAGAGAAAGGCAAGGCAAGGGCTTCAGTTGGCGTGGTGGCTACTACATGAGTCCCTGAACCCGGAAAAGACAATGACTGGTTCCAAATCCAACTGAGGTTCACATTTTGCTCATATCTCAACATGATTCCGGTCATATTCCATATCATATCCCGCCATGAAAAAAAGAACAGATAGTAAATACTCAACAAAAAAAATTAAAATGTTGTGAATTCGACTGCAGCTCTAGCTTGTCTGGGTTCAATACCAATTTATACTCCCAGAGCATTCCCGTTGACGGGTAATTGCTGATACCAAGATAGAGTTAAAGCAGTTTTTTTGCATACAGAGTTGACTTTTCCTATGAAATATCGACGCAGTCGTAACAAAGCATTTTCAAATTACTGTAAGAAATCGTTGATCTTTATGAATCATAGGGGAGGTTTACACCTCGACGATAATGTTTTTCCAGGATAGCAAAGCTTTCCCGGGTATATCTACTCTTACTAAGAACTAACATTCTGGGCAAAAATATCAACCTTGTTCTTAATTTGGTTTGATTTGCCACGAAAATGAGCCACTTGCTTTACACCACAGCTGAAGAGCACCTCACCATGATAACGCAAAATACCACGCAGTTGATAATAGAATAAAATGTTTAATAACCAATCATCATCATAGGTAAACATTTGTAATACAATCTTATCTTCTTATCATAAAATACTTCTAAAATACATGTAAAAACCTTCTTGTAGCAAATATCGTTGATGAAAAACTAAAGAACCTGTGTGACTTCTTCCTGGAAGCTATTAGCGTAATTTCTCGTCTGGCAACCAAATGCGGAGGTTTTTCGCGTTAGCAATAACACTTACGAAACTTTCATTGCCGACGTGTAGGGGAGTGTGAATCCATGTATCGTCCATTTCCAATGAACCAAAAAAATGGCTCAGACAACCTTCCCAAGTCGTAACGATTTCAGATCGAGCTTCAGATTGATCTCCGAGATTTGCGACGAAAAATTTTATGCGGATTACCGATTAGTATTCGAAGTCGAGAACGTGCAAGTACAGCTCCACCCACACCGCGTCCAATCATCGTCGATCCACAATGGTCGACGTCTCAAAACATAGCAACGCTTAGTTCATTCGAGCCAGTAGACGTCGAAAAACAATAACCAGAGACTGGTCACGATTATTGTCGATATT